TAGCTATCAACAAGTGAATCTAAAACTCAAGTGAATCAAAAATCTGATGAACAGAGTAAACTGGTGAATATAATAGAACCAGGGGCATGGAAAGGTAGTGGACTGACAATTCTTGGGGGGAAAAGGGTGTGGGAGTGCAGGAAGAGACTGGACAAAAATCGTACTCCTATGGATGAGGACAGTGGGAGGCAGCGGTAAGGGCAGAGGGTGGGGTGGGAACGGGGTGGAGGGGAGCTATGGGGGGAAAAAGGAGGAACAACTGTAATAATCTGAACAATAAAGATTTAATTTTTTAAAAAAAGAAAAAAGAAGAGGGTCTTTCTATAGGTATGGTATTAGGTTTTCTAGGAGCCCACAATGATGGCAGAATGATATTCAGGATAGAAATAAATATAAATATATTGTGTAAATAAACCAGTAAGTATTTATTTTCTTACTTTCCCTTCTTAGTTTGTAGGGTAAACCAGATTATTTCATTCCAATGCATAATTTTTTTTTCTTCAATAAACCATTTAATCACTAAAACCTTCTATGGACCCTCTGTGCTCTCTGGGCAATTAGAAACACAGTGATTTCATGGGAACTGGAGAAGGAATTTGAATTACCTGTATTCATGTTAAACAGTGACCTATTACATAACCTGAAGTCAATTGAATGGAGATGATATTAAATCCCCTCAAAAGTTATCTCTGACCATTATAAACTTTTGAACAGTAATAGATACAGAGGCAGAGCTGCCTCGAACAGATTGTCAAAATGCAGCGGGAAGGCCGGGAAAAGTTGGGGGGCAGGAGGGAGGGGTATAAGAGATCAACCGAAGGACTTGTATGCATGCATATATGCATAATCAATGGACATGGGACGCTGGGGGGTGGGGGAGGCCAGGGGATAGTCAAGGACGGGGGGAAAAAAAACACATATGTAATACCCTTTGTAATACTCTAAGCAATAAAAAAAAAGTTATCTCTGGTAAAAAATAAATAAATAAATAAATAAATAAATAAACCACCACAACAACAAACAACAAACAAAAACCTTTGAATGTCTTTAGACTGGGCATTCCTCCCCAGAAAACCTCCTACCAGCAATTTAGGGGTTGAAATTATAGCTATCACAACACACTCTAAGCAAAAATTGCTTCAGTCTTGTAATATTGCTACTACTGTATACATTCAAAGGAACTTTCTGCTAATTTCCTTTTGTCTGTTTAGGAATAAACCAATACAATGGATTGGGGTACCCTGCACACTTTCATCGGGGGTGTGAACAAACACTCCACCAGCATCGGGAAGGTGTGGATCACCGTCATCTTCATCTTCCGTGTCATGATCCTCGTGGTGGCCGCTCAGGAAGTGTGGGGAGATGAACAGGAAGACTTTGTGTGCAACACTCTGCAGCCAGGATGCAGAAACGTGTGCTATGACCACTTCTTCCCCGTGTCCCACATCCGGCTGTGGGCCCTGCAGCTCATCTTCGTCTCCACCCCTGCCCTGCTTGTGGCCATGCACGTTGCCTACTACCGGCAGGAGGCCGCCCGCAAATTCAGACGAGGAGAGAAGAGAAATGAATTCAAAGACTTGGAAGACATTAAAAAGCAGAAGGTTCGGATCGAGGGAGCCCTGTGGTGGACATACACCAGCAGCATATTTTTCCGAATCATCTTCGAAGCCTCCTTCATGTATGTGTTTTACTTCCTATACAATGGGTACCACCTGCCCTGGGTGCTGAAATGTGGGGTTGATCCTTGCCCCAATCTTGTTGACTGCTTCATCTCCAGACCTACGGAGAAAACCGTGTTCACCATTTTTATGATCTCTGCCTCGGTGATTTGCATGCTACTCAATGTGGCCGAGTTGTGCTACCTGCTGCTGAAAGTGTGTTTCAGGAAATCAAAAAGAGCCCAGACACAAAGAAACCACCCCAGTCATGCCCTAAAGGAGAGTAAGCAAAATGAAATGAATGAGCTGATTTCAGATAGTGGTCAAAATGCAACCACTGGTTTTCCAAGTTAGACATTTCAAAGTTCGATGTAGCCAGCTCCTAACAAAACTGGTGTCTTCTCCTAAGGACCCTCTCTCTAGGCTAGAGACTTCGTGTTTATAAATGGCTTTCATAATACATAGGTACTTGAGTTAATGTTTTATAGAATAATTGTGCCATTAATATGCAACATGATCACATATGTGGTCCATCTCTGAAAACTAAGACAGGTTGACAACCCTACCTTGAAGCTTCTTTCACATGTCTGTTTTAGGTGGACCATCTGACATAGTGGGTATTTCCTGAAACTTTAAGATTGTAACTTTTGTTGATAATGTTAATCTAGAAATGGATACTTTTATTAGTAAAAGATATTTTTATAGGATTAAGTGTTTTAGTACTGACTTTGAATTTATATATTTTTATAATGACTAGTCTTCTTTACCTGGAAAAACATGCATTGCTAATTTTAGAATTATACTTTAAGTATTTAAATTTTGAACTTACTGTATCTTGTTGTAAATCATATTTTGCATTGTCTACTGACAAGTTTATAAACTAGCATGATTCTCTGGAAAATGTTCATTGTACAATATATTTTTACGGCTTTGTGAATGTAGACAGAGCTGTATGGAGGTCGGAAGCTTTTTAAAACTAGTCCATTTGCAGTAGTTGTGAACAGCTCCCCTCAATAAAGATGAACCCCACTGCTTAAGCGTTCCTATGCATTCTCGGTTTCTGTTCTGTTCGGGGAGCCATGATGTCATCCCCAGTGGTATGATGAATGGGTTGGGACACTCTTGCTGGGGTAGCTGCTGGTTCTGTGGGTGCAGTTGCCCTGAGGTTCACTGAGAACTCTTGCTTCCTCACATCAAATAAGCAGAGACCAAGTTCAGCAGCCCACTCAGCCCTCCACTTGGAGAGGAGTTTGCAGCTTTAGCACATGGAGGATGTCCTCTGGGTCAGTGCAACCTTGATAGAGAGGTCAGGGAAGTTTTCAGGTGTTCAGCAGCAACCTAACAAAGCTTGCCTCAACAGACTCATTACCTGAGTCCTTCAGTCCATGATGACTGAGAAAAATATCCACAGCTTTACCCCCATAGACAGGGAAACCTTCCTCCTAAGGATTTCCCGGCTGAACACAGATGCCTTTTGTGTGGGTGTTGGTGAGTCAGTCACAGACTGCTCACTCAGGACTAATGATATACACATGCAACTGACATAGTTAGCATACACACCTAATGGATAATGAATATACATGAGGGCCTGACACAGCCCCAGATTCTATAACACTAAAAAAATCTAGTCAGCACTGGTAATTCCCGATTGTCCAATAATGTTGTTGTTTTTAAATAGCTATTTGAATGGGTACGTGAACAGGAAGCCCATGAACAGGAAGGAGGGAAATATCAAGGCAGATAAAACAGCTTTGGTAGCAGGCCCAATCTGAATGGAAAAGGGACTACTTTTCCACCTTGCTCTGGGGACTCCTGGACCCCTCATGACTGCCCCTCTGGTCCTTCTCTCTGCTCTTTAACCTGCCTAAGCACATCTTCCCTCTGGAGCTCTCACTGCACCATCCCTTCAAGGACCGAGAGTACGGCACACTCGCTGCCAGCACTCTCTGTCCACCTGCTTCTCACCACTGTCCCCACTGAAACCAAGCATTATCAGCATAATGATGCTCTGAGCACAAACCTAATGGCTTCTTCTCAGTTGTCACAATTGTTTTTAATCCTCATCCAAAGGTATGTTTATTGATTTTGAGAGAGGAAGGGGGAAATGAGAGAGAGAGAGAGAGAGATTGCTTCTGGGAACCAAGGTTATGTGCCTGATCAAAAACCAAACCCATAACCTGTTGTTATACAGGACAACGCTCCAACCAACTGAGCCATTTGGCCAGGGTTCAGTTGTTATAATTTTAAAACTCTTTGAGATATTTTTCTAGATTCCAAGACACTGCCCAACTTAACCTTGGATCTCCACTTCCAACTTGGGCTCCTGCACTGCCTTCTCTCCCTCTCCCAGTCCCTTGTGTGAAGACCTTTTCTTTCCTCATCCAACACTTTCCTGATGAGATATCATCCCCACTATACAAATGCGAACACTGAGGGTCAGAGAGGTTAGGTAACTTGCCCAAGGTCCATACCTAATAAGTAGCAGATCCAAGGTTCAAACCAGGTCCAACTGTCTCAAAGTCAGCAGCATAAGTACTGTATTACACTGACTCCCACAGCTTGACTGCACGTGTAATGTGTACCATTAGAAACCTCCCACACCTATTATCCAGCTCCAACAAGCATCTTTTTATGCCTATTCGCTTTTTCCACCTCACCTGCCCATCCCCAAGCCTGGATTATCAAATTCCAGACATTTTATCTGCAAATATTTCAGTATGGGTCTTCTACGAGTCTAGACTAACCTTTTAAGACAAAAATACAATGCCACCATCCCACTGAAAAATCCTGTCAGTGTTTATAATTCTCCCATTGTCCTATAAATGTTCCTTCTTTTTTAGAATTAAACTTGTTATTATGATATAATTATAGATTCATATGTCAGTATAAGAAATAATACAGAGGTCCCAGGTGCTCTTTGCACAGTTTCCCCCAACAGTAACATCTTATAAAACTATAGTACAAGATTTCAACCAGGATGTTGACATTGATACAGTCAAGATACAGAACATTCCATCACCATAAGAACCCCTCATGTTGCACTTTCCCTCCTAACCATTTCCTCCTAGCCCATCCTTGCCCACCACATACCTCCTCATCTCCGGGCAGCCGCTGGTCTGCTCATCACTTCTATCATTTTATGGATTGGATTTTCCCCCCTCCGTATACCAATGGCTTGTTTCTTTTTATTACTGAGTAATATTCATGATATGGGTGTACCACCATTTGTTTAACCATTCAAAGACATGAGGCTGTTTCTAGTTCAGGGCTTACACACAAAAAAATATGAACATTCATGTAAAGGATTCTCTGTCAACACAAGTCTTCATTTCTCTGTGATAAATATTCAGGAATTCGATTGCTGGGCACATTTTACTTTTTAAGAAACTGCCAAGCAGTTTTCCAGAGTAGCTGTGCCATCATATATTCCTACCAGCATGTCTGAGGGACCCAGTTTTTCCTCATCCTTGCCAGCACTGGGTGTTGTCACTATTTTTTATTTTAGCCATTTTGTTAGATGTGTTTAATTTGCATCTCCCTAATGACTAAAGAGGTTGAACATCATTTCATATGTTTATTTGCCATCTCTGTATTCTCTTCGTGTCTTTTGCCATTTTCTAATTGGATTGTTTTTCTACTGTTGAGTTTTGAGAATTTTTTATATGTTCCAGATACTAGTCCCTGGACAGAGATATTTGGTTTATAACCCCCACCCCTCTGGAAATTTTTATCATCTTCTTAACAGGATCATTTGCAGAGCAATAGTTTTTCATTTTAATCAAGTCCAATTTATCAATTTTTTTATGAATCACAGTTTTGGTATCAAGTCTAAGAATTCTTTGCCTAGCCATAGGTCCTGAAGATTTTCTCATACATTTTCCCCTAAAAGCAATATAATTTTACACTTAAATCTGTGGTCTATTTTGTGTTAATTTTTGTAAAAGGCCTGTGACTTTTGAGGTTTATTCATTTATTTGGCCAGTAAATGTTCAGCATCATTTGATAAAAATACTTTTTCCTCCAGTGAATTGCTTTTGCACCTTTGCCAAAAATCAATTAGGCACATTTGTATGGGGCCATTTTGGGGTTCTATGGTCCAGTCCATTGATCTATGTCTATCCTTCCACCAACACTAAATAGCCTTGATTAATGTACTATATAAGTCTTGAAATCTGTGAGAGTGATTTCTCCCACTTTATTATTTTTTTTAAATATATTTTATTGATTTTTTACAGAGAGGAAGGGAGAGGGATAGAGAGTTAGAAACATCAATGAGAGAGAACCATTGATCAGCTGTCTCCTGCACACCCCCTACTGGGTATGTGCCCGCAACCAAGGTACATGCCCTTGACCAGAATCGAACCTGGGACCCTTGAGTCCACAGGTCGATGCTCTATCCACTGAGCAAACCGGTTAGGGCCCACTTTATTATTTTTATAAATTGTTGAAGCTATTCCAATTCCTTTGCCTTTCCGTATACATTTAGAATAATCTTATCTATATTTACAAAAATATTGATGGGTTTTATATAAGAGTAACATTAAATCTATATATCAATTTGGGGAGAACTGACATCTTTACAATGTCAAATCTTCCTATCCATATACACAGAATACTTATTTATTTATACCTTCTTTGATTTCTTTTATCAGCATTGTGTAGTTTTTAGTGTATAAGTCATAAAAGTTTTGTTAAATTTACTTCTACATATTTCTCTGAGTGATTGTAAGTAGTATTGTATTTTAATTCTATAAAATACACTGTCCACATATGCATTGCTAGTATATGGACATATGTGTTATTTTGTTTGCTTATTTGCTTATGTCCTGTGATCTTGCTGAACTCACTTATTGGTTCTAGATTTTTGTAGATTCCTTGAGATTTTCTGCATAACAACCATATCATCTGCGAATAGGGATAGTTGTAGCTCTTCCTTTATGACCTTTCTTGCCACATTGCACTAACTAGAACTCCTAGCACTAAACTGTGTTAAATAGAAATAGTAAACACTGAATTCCTGATCTTGTTTTCTATTTAAGGGGAAAAGATTGAATCTTTCACCATTAAGTGTAATGCTAACCATAGGTTTTTTGTGGATGCTCTTATCAAGTTGAGAAAGTTCTCCTCCCTTCCTGTTTTTCTGAGAGTTTTATCATGCATGGGTGTTGAATTTTATGGGGGGGAAAAAAAGTTTAGCGTTGATATGATCATGTGACTTTATTTTTTAGCCCCTTAATATGGTGGATTACACTGATTGGTTTTCAAATATGAAACCAGCTTGCATTCCTGGAATAAACTTGGTCACAACATATACTTCTTTTTATATATTACTGAATTCCATTTTTCAATATTTTATTAAAGAATTTTTACATCTACATTCCTGGGGATACCGGGGTGTAGATTTCCTTTCTTGTATTATCTTTGTCTGGTTTGGGTATCAGAATCACAAAATGAATTGTGAAGTGCTCTTAACTCCTCTATTTTCTTTTCTTTTTAAATTAAATTTAGTGGGGGGAGGAGACTGGTCAATAACATTATATAAATTTCAGGTGTACACTTTATGATAGAACATCTCTATACTTTCTTGTGAGCTCGCCACCCAAAGTCTAGTCTCCTCCTGCCACCATATATTTTACCCTTTTTACCCTATTCATTCACCCCCACTCCCTTCCATTCTGGTAATCACCATTCTATTGTTTGTATCTTTGAGTGTGTTGTTTATTTGTTTTGTATTTTCTAGAACAGAACATGTGAAATAGATGGTAATCTTTCTTTAAACATTTGATAGAATCCTCCAGTGAAACTATTTGGGCCTAAATGTTCCTTGAGGTTTTCTTTTTTACAAATTCAATACCCTTAATAGTTATAAGGCTATTGAAATTATCTATTTCATATTGGGTGAGTTATGATAGGTTCTATTTCTTGAGGAAGTGATCCATTTCATCTAAATTGAAAATTAGTGTAAGTTTGTAATATTTCCTTATTACCTTTGGATGTCTTCAGGGTCTGTAGTCTTCTCTCTTTTTTTGCCTTTGTCAGTCT